GTAGTTTTTTATTATTATTATTTGAAAATTTAATATGTATTTTTTAAACTTGTATTCCGTAATATTGCAAATTATTGTACGATATGAATACAAAAAAAATTGCATAGAGTTAGTTTATTTAAAAGTTTGTCAAAAATCTAGAATTCTCTTCTCTTTTTTAAATAGAAAAAAGCATGTGAAACATTTTGGCGTTTAGCCTTTTCCCGTCATTTCGCGATCATTTCCTGTCGTCCAGTCTCTCCCGGACGCAAATTAAAGCCGTCATCCCGTCGCATCCCTCGGGACGTGTCCCTTTTCCCGTAAAACACCTCGCAAGCATCCAATATCAGGTTCCCGCCTTTGCAATAAACCTAAATGTTTAAGCATCGTCATCTGCGATCCGGCGTTCGATTCGGGTGTGGCGCCGTCGGAGGGCGTTTTCGTCGCGCAATCGACGTTTGTTTTGGTTCATTTTTGAAAATATGGGCGTGCACCACTACATAAACATCTAAGTAATTCCTAAGGTGTGACCCGAGCCAATCGATATAACCTCAACGACTCCGGGCCGGCTCCGGGCATGCAATACAGCGCTACGAACTTACCAACTAATGCTAATTAGGCCTAGTTCCAAGTCTTTTCGCACTTTGATTGTTTCGTATAAAAGTCGGGAAAACACTAACAAAATAGACTTTTCAACGACGAGTCAACTATGATTTAAAGCGGTTTTAGTTTTGATTCGGGTTTATGCACCTGGAGACAAATAATTGGAAAATAAAATTCAAACCCAAACTCCCAAATACTTCGAAAACTTTATTTTGAACAAATCAAACAAACAAATTACAAAAAGTACAAACAAACTGCGCTAAACGCTCCAAATAATTCCATTCAACTCAAACAAGCAGCAACCTAAGCGAAAAAAATAATCGCTTAATACCTTAAACCTAATAACCAATTCACAGCACACTTCGATCATCACATTTTTATTAGTTTCAACAGTCACATCGGGTTAATTGAGCGATTGTTACGTAACTTTTTAATAATGTATAACAATAAACGGGTGTGTGCACCATCCAGATGTAGTTCGCGATTTGGCCACCTGGATACGGGGGCGCCACTCGCCCTCTCCAGCAGGATAGCGCAGCAGGACAAGAACCGACGCTTTCGGCCATCTCCGACCGGAAATTTTCTACTTTTAGACGCTCTCACCATCGCGGTTTGCAATTCGGTTTTTTGCGTTGACGCAAATCGAATAAATTATTGCGGAGAAGGATTTTCGCAGGATTAGGGAGAAAATTTTGAAGGTTGCAGGAAAATATTTCAACAGCCTTGAACGATGTGATAATTTATCTTGTTATGGGTAATTAGTGAATAGAATAGGTCCTAATGCTGACCGTTGGGTGTATGAACGGATTTGTGATGAATTGTGACAAGTCAAGGTAAAGGAGTGATGTAATTGGTTATTCCCTAAGTGCTCAACAAATTCGTGAATAAATTCTTGCTGAAAAAAGTGGCCTTGAATACGAGGGGCCGCTTTTGCATCACAAATTTGAGACTTTGACCACAAATTTCCTGTCTAGTGCATCAAGACGGCTTTGAAAGTCATATAATAAAATACAGGGTGTTCCGTTTTTATTGTTACAAATTTGAACAGGTAAAAGAATATTCAATTTTAAGACACAAGTTTCCTATAAACATGTATGAAAAAATGTTTTGTAAAGGAGCTACACTCTAATTTACTAATTTTTTGGCCCATATGGGTGAAATTTTGCTTGAAAAAAATAATTCATTACAATAAATAAAACCCCTAATTTGGCTATTTTAGGAAAATTTTGTGAAAAAAATCAGTTTTGGTTCGAAAACGTTTTTATTCGCTTGAAAATAGATGGAAATAATATAATTTTTTGCCTAATTAATTTTTGGGCTAGTTTTTATCAAAAACAATTAAGATTTTTATTCAAACAAGAATCACTATTTTCTATCTAATTAAGAGATTTCTCGACTTGCTTGAGCAAGAAGTCGCAAAGAAAAAGTGCATTTTTAATTGAAAAAGTCAAAAATAATGTTAATTTCGAAAAAAATTTGGTCATTTTTGCCAAAATTTTGGAAAAACAATTTTTTGTAATTTGAATCTAGTTGTTTCCTTTTTTAACGAAATTTTGCGAAAAAAAAGTTTTTAGCTGAAAAACATGCTCTCAAAAATGTCAAAAATAGCATAATTTTCGATTTAATTTGGTGATTTTTGGAACTCGACATTAAGTATTTCAAGGTAATCAACTGTATCAAATTTTGTAATTTTATCTAAAATGGTTTCTGAAATATTGGACAAAATCTATTAAAACTTGGACCCTTTTCAGGGAGTGTACCTCCCTTACATAGTATTTTTCAATACATGTTCATAGGAAACTGTTATCTTAAAATTAAATATTCTATCACCTGTTTAAATTTGTAACAATAAAAATTGAACAGCCTGTATAAACGTTTTTTATTTATTTAAAGTTTAACTTTTGTAGACATATGCTACAAACATAATTTTTCTTAATCTAATTTTTAAATTTTTTCACAATGTTTATATTTTCTTAAAATAAATTTCGAAATAATTGATCAGTCTTGACACCGTTGAAAAGCTCTATTAATTTTCCTATTAGCTTTACATCATTTAATTGTCAAATAAATTCCGGAAATAGGCTAAAATAGGCGTTTATAAATCCGTCGGTATTTCTAAAATTACACAAAATTTTCGATTTTTTGACATCTTAAAAACAAAGTAAATCCATTAATTAATTAAAAACTGTAGGTTCTACATCAGAAACAACTACGTTTCGGATCTTTCTTCTCGTTTTTTACCAAATTATTTAGCATAAATATGAATAAAAAGTTTAGTATTTTTTAAACCGGATTGGAAAATTGTTTTTTTACACAAATCGCAAAGAAAATGAAATGGAAGAAAAATTTTCATTCATAAAACAACGGAAAAAAGGTCTCAAATTCCGTTCGTTACTCTAATTTTAATAATTTTCTCATAAAAGTTAATCATATTTGTTACTTAATTTAATCGTTTTGCGGTATGTACTAAACAAAACCTATTATTACCTGATACCTTTTATTATTCCATTTAATCAATATGATTGAAATCGATTATGCAAATAGGATTAAATCGAAGCCGACAATTGTTTCAAGAAACCTCATTCACGGAATGTCAACATTCCCTAATTGGGATTATGTTCAAAACCGCTCGACTTTTGCAGGAATTGAAGGATAATTGTCACGAAGCACGCTACATGCGAGTGAGCAAATGATTCCTGTTTTTTTTTATTTACGACGAGACGTATGAGTAATTATCCTGGCAGATGGAATAATAGGATCTCGGTTTTTTCGTCGCGATTGCATAATCGGATCGTGATTCCGTTTGTGTATAAAAACGGATCGTGTTTATCGAATGTAACAGATCAAACCATGCGGTGGGCTGTACCACTGGTAGTGCTCGTGTTGGGTGCTTGTGCCCAAGAGAAATCAACGCCGAAACCGGTGGGTGTAGTGTATTTTATTAGTTTTATAAATGAACCCAAAGATGAACCCGAATCGATAGAAGGAATCAGTAACGAAATCCCGGAAAATTCTGATAAGAAAATCCAACACGGAATTTTGTTGGTACAACCGATTCCGGACACTGAAGCTCTGAGTGATGGGGTGTACTTCCGACCTGTTGATGGAAAACCTCTGGATAAACCAGAAGTAATAAAAAATTACGTTTTTCTTTTAATAATTTTTAACATTAGGAACTTACAACACTTTCGCGCCAAAGACGTACGACTTATGGTAAAGGTTCCTACGGTAAAGGAGGCGGCGGCGGAGGCGGATTTGGCGGTGGATTTGGAGGAGGATTTGGAGGCGGCGGTGGAGGAGGCGGAGGCGGAGGAGGTGGTTTCGGAGGCGGCGGAGGTCTTGGTGGTGGTGGACTCTTAGCTGGACTTTTAAGTAAAGGCTTAGGAGGCGGTAGTGGCGGCGGCGGTGGATTTGGAGGAGGCGGCGGTTTAGGAGGTGGCGGCGGCCATGGCGGAGCTGGAGGCATCGGAGGCGGACATAGTGGCGGCTTCGGGGGAGCGGGAGGAATTGGAGGTGGACACAGCGGCGGCTATGGAGGCACGGGAGGACTTGGTGGCGGATATGGAGGATCTGGAGGCGGTGGAGGCGGCCATGGGGCAAGTTTAGGAGGAGGTGGCTCTGGTGGTT